CCAGGGCTGGACGGGCCACTTTAAAATCTCAGTGATGCAATGAGGATATTCAAAGGTCCTAAAGGAGCCCAGGATCTGTGCCTGGAACCAGAGATGAGCAGAGTTGGAAGTGGGTCTGTGGGTGCACTGCCACCGGAGAGGGCTGAGGCTCTGGTTCAGGCTGAGCTGCGGGCACAGTGAGTGGCAAAAGGTGGCCCTGGAGGTGAGCATCCCGCCTGCCTCCCCACTGGTCAGGACAGGAAACGGTGGTGACCACCCTGGACAGACTCTACCTGGAAAGGGGGAGTCTTCCCCAAAATAGCAGGCTGACACCAGGCGGGGGTGGGACTCCCGCCCCCTCCAAACACCCTTGCCATTTACCTTTAAAAATAGCGGCAGCTCAAGAACATGAGTCATGAGGCGCCCCTTCCAACAGTCATGAATAAAACATCCCGCCCGCTGCCCTAATGGCTCCGCCTTGGATGTTTTATTGATGGATTCCCCTGAGTGCCAGCTGCTCACAGACTGAGGCAGGGCTCAGGCACCCCGGGTCAGCGGGCCCGCCCTTGCTGGCCAACGCACTGCAGCCACTCTGCTGCACACAGGTGGGCGCCTCGGGTCCCCTGGGGACAGAAGCGCAGTTGAAGCACATGGGAACCCTGCCTGGCCACTGAGCGGGTGGGCCCCAGGCACAGGTGGACCTGGAACTGCTGCACCCACTGTGCGCTTCCTCAGAGGCGGGGAGTGGACGCCCACTCGGGGCTGTGGCAGCGACTCCCCGGAGCCCGGGCAGAGCATTGCCCTGCAGATCAAAGCCCTCTGAAGAGAGCTCCGGCTGCCCAGCGCTCTGGGCGCAAAGCTAGGCCCGTGCACAGGAGTGGCCACGAGGGAGGCCCCAGTGAGAGAGGAGAGGGCTCCCTAGGTAGATGGGCTCTGGGCAGGAGCCGGGACCCCATTGACAGACGGCCCAGAGGCCGCTGGGGACATGGCTGTCTGCACAGGTGTGGAAAAAGGAGTGTGGGGGCAACTTCCCGCCTTTGTTAAAAACAAACCCTCTAGGAAGGACAGTGCCCCTGGTGAGAAGGGCCACTGGGAGCTAGACCCCAAGGCACCAGGTTACGTCTTGACGGAGGATGACCTTGACCTTGGTGGGCTGGGAAACCAACCGAGAGAGCAGGTGGCCACGGGGTCCATCCTGGGGCTCTGAGTGACTACCGAAGGGTGTGGTGGCTTTGGGGTGGGACATGGGGACCCTCAGAGTGTCTCTGACTTAGATCTCAGGTCACGTTTCAAGTTTGTTGAGAAAAGTCGTTGTAAGAAGAGAGGCAGAGAGGACGACGGCACGAGGCCAGCGTTTTGGGAACCCCACAACAGGACGTGACAGGAGTGGGCACAGCCCTTCAGACCCCAGGACACACTGAGGCCACAAGGAGCAGAAGTCGGCTGGAGAGCCCAGGGCAGACGTGGGGAAGAGGAGACGCTGCTGGAGGGAAGGCCGAGGGGCCTGGAGGGCGCAGTGGGCGTCCCCACAGCTGGCCGCCCCCAGAGTGCCCAGTCCTAATGTTGGCTCCCACGCCTGTGGCTCCCTCGTAAGTCCCCCTGATTTGAGGCTGCTCAGGAGAATCTGGGTCTCAACAGAACGGTGGGTGGTGTGGCCACGAGCCCAGGCCTGGCCACAGGGCCTGGTTCCACTCGCTAGCTCTCATTGAGTGCATGTCCACTATGGGCCTCAGGCCGTGGAATACACGGTGAGTCAGACCCAGGACTAGCCGTTCCCTCTGGGAAGCTCAGCAGGCGGAAGCTACCCAGGCCCTCCCTGGAGGGCGTGTGCCCCTCTGCCCCAGCTCAGAAGTGTCCCCCTGACCAGCGTGGACCCAGGCTCCCTGTGTGCTCCCTGCTGTGTGCTCCCCAGGAACGGGGATGGCACAGAGGAAGACCAGGCCTGGAGCAGGGACCGACAGCCCTGCGCCCCGCGACACGCACGTGTGCACTCACATCACACTCAGGGTGCACGAGGGGGCTCGCCAGGGCTTCCTCCGCACACATGGCGTAGTGACCCGGGCCTTCAGAGAGGGTCTGGGGTGGGCCGCTTGGAGTCCATTTGAATCAGGTAACTAGTTTATAGACAGAAAATACATACAGTCTGATTTTTTCAACATGAGTGAGAACTGCTTCAGGAATTGTGTGTGGTGTGTTTTAAAAATATCTCCCTTTAACCGCATTTATTTACTAGGTGAATCCCTCGGGTAGCGAGTAGGTGAGCTTGGCCACGGCCTGCAGCCTTGCCCGCTGGCCTCACGTCCACACTCTGCCTGTGACCATCTGTGATGGAATTTCACGTCCTGCCTTAACTTAGGTTTGTCCACCTCACAAGAGGCCAGGCTGACTCTCAGTTTGGAATCTCTGGCTTTGGGTGTTGAGCTGTTTGCTGAGAAAACCCTACAGTGGATTCGAGGGCTGAGCTGGGCTCCTCGGCTGGCACTCCGCAGCGTGTGGCCTTGGAAATCACTTGGCTTCCCTCAATTCAGGAATGGAGCCTCCGCAGGAGTCCGGATGGCAGGAGACCATGCCCTGGTCCTCCCCGGGATCTACAGACTGTCGTCTGAAGGCTTCGGGGAGCAGGAAGCCCACTGGTGCAGACGGGGTCGGAGCGGGATCAGGCAGAGGCAGCTCCCCATGGCCCTGTCTGCCCCTGTTTCCCTCCCAGGACGCTCCTCCGCACACCCGTGCGCTCCTCATCTCCCTCTTCTGTCTACTCCTCGCTAGAGTGGAAGCTGCTCAGGGTGGGCTTTGAGTTTCCCAGAGAACTGCTTTCGCTCCGCAGACCACGTGGGGCTCCTTCGTCGTGCACATGTAGAGCTGGGGAGAAGGAGGGCGTGTGGGTGGGGGGACCTTCTGTAAAAAGGGGCGCCGTCCCCAGCTCCGCCCTCCAAGGTCTGAGGTTACACCAAGGGGCCAGAAGGGCCTGGGAAGAGTGCTAAAGGAAGGGCTGAGGTCTGACCCGGTGTGACCAGGTACCTGTCCCCTTGGCATCCTGCTGTGGGCCGGGGACTGGGTGTGTCCTGCCCCACACCGTGCGTGACAGGTGACAGCTCATGTCCTGGGCACCTGGCTGCGGGGGGAGGGCAGGGAAGGCAGAACAGGCAGAGAACCATTTCTTCTGTCTGGAGTTCTGACTCTGGTGGAGTGCAGGACACAGGTTCTGGAGGGATCAGGTAATTCGTTTGGAAAACAGAGAAAACACAGCCACGACTGCAGCCCAGTTGGCCGCACAGGCGACACCCTTCTGCGTGGAGTGAACAAGAAGCATGAGCTGTGTTTGAAACTGTCTTTGAGCCTCCGAGTAAAATACAGCCTTTTGGTTTTTAAAAAATCAGACACGTCCTTGTTCTCTCTGTCGAGTCATTACAGAGCCAGACCCGGAGCTTCACAGCTTTCTAACCAGGGAGAAATCCTGGGTGGATTCCCAGGGTCCCTGGGCTGCCGCCACATGCCCCAGGCTCACTCCTGTGCAGAACAAGTTGTGTGTGCTCCCGCCCTGCAGCCGCGCTGCCCGGTCCCTGTGGCTCCTGGCTTCAGGGGAACCAGCCAGGGAGAAAGCACAGCGCCTCCCACACCTGAGGTCACAGTCCCTATGCAGGGACACAGGGCGCCTTTCTAAAACTGGCCCACGGTGCTGCTTCCTCCAGGGCGGAGCGTGGGCGCCGCGCCCGGGAGGGGGGCACTCAGGTTGTTGCCGAGTACATTTCCCCTCAGGGCACGGCACTCGGATTCAGGCCCTTTCCTAAATCTTCTTTGTGGACACTCCTGTTTGCTATTCTGCCACGTCTCCTTGCTCCCTCTGGACTGGTGTGTACGAGAGTGTGTGGGGAAGAGAATCTGAATCAGCGACTGCCCATCCTCTTAAAACTGCGGCTCCGCAGAGGGTCTCGACTCTGTGGCACGGCAGAGGGTCTTGTCTCTGTGGCTCCGCAGAGGGTCTCGTCTCTGTGGCAGAGGGCCAGGGCAGAGAGCAGCTGAGCTCTGGACAGCACCAGGCACACACCAGCCAGGCCTGCTGTCACAGGAGGGGGGATCTGGGGGAAGGAGGGAGGCAGAGGCCTGGGGGGCTGGGGCCAGCACAGCGGGGGCTTCCCTCCTTCCCAGGTGCACAGGATTCCCAGAATCCCAGGCCAGGTCAGGACCTCCCTCCAACCCTGTCCTTCCCACGCCTCTGGTGAGGTCTGGCCTTTTAAAAACGCAGCGCTCAGAAAGAGATGCACGGGACCAGGCCCAGGAATGGACCTGCCCTCAGGAACTCGACTCTTCACTTCCTGCGATCAGGCAGGAAGTGCTGAGAGAAAACACCCTCATTCAGGAAAGCAGAGCAGAGCCGGCCGAGGGGTCCCAGGGAGGAGGGCTGGGGAGGGGCAGAGGCCAGGCGCACCTGCATCTCCAGGGCATTCTTGCCCATTTCACAGTGCCCGGTGATGGCCTAGGGCGGTGTCCCCTGTGCTGTCTGTGTCCCCTCCCCAAGTTCACACCTTGAAATCCTCATCCCAGGGTGATGTATGGGGGGCTCTGGGAGGCGCAAGTCCCAGGGTGCAGCTCTCCTTGCAGAAGAGGCCCCAGGGAGCCTCCCCCGACCCCATGAGGAGGCAGAGGCTGTCCATGAAGTCGAAGCCATAATGGGTGCTCACCAGGCCAGCCTCCAGAGCTGTGAGACCCTTCTACTGTGGGTCTGCGCCCCAGGTTGTGGCCTGGTCAGCAGCGTGGACTCGGACAGCGGTGGTCAGGGAAGGGCCACGACCCCTTTCCTTGCCTGGCTCATGGACGTCAGCCCCTTTCTCTTGTAGGATCGCCTTTGGACCAGACCTGCCTGCGACAGTCCCTCTGGGTCTCCAGAGCTTGCCTGGCCGGGAGGGACTCTCGAGTCTGCCCCGTGGGCTCCAGGGCTGGCCTGTGCCCAGGGCCTTCCCCAGGACTTGTGGGAAATGGGGCACTAAATCTTTAGGGACAAATTAAAGAGAAAAGACACTTGGTTGTGTTGAATACATACTGTATTTAACTTTTTGTCTTTAATCCCAGAGAAGTGAAATGCGACGTCTGTTTGAGTTGATGCGACATCCAGACCGACGACCCAGAATCCCTAGTGAAGTCGTTTTAAGGCACTCTGCAGAGCCGGCTTTGTCTCTTCCTCCTGGGGTTCCCTCCTAACTGTGGCGGGACACCTGGGGTCTCCTTCGAAGGGAGACGCACGCTCCCGCCCTTCACCTGCGGGTCTGTCCCGGCCACCGGGAACCAGCGCAACTGCAGGGGGCCGGGAGGGGAGGGAGCGTTGGAGGCTAGAGGCAGAGGGACTCACAGGAGCCTGGACCGAGGGGCAGCACAGCGGGGAGGGCGGGAGGACGCCGGGCGGGCGGGGGCCAGATGGCTGAGGCCTGTGCAGGACAGGCTGCTTCCCAGGAGGTTCAGACTGACTGAGCCTGATTCTGGGCTTTTTTCTTCCACTTTAGAGATGGGGCCAGTGCAGGGACATCTCAGAGGAAGGGACTGTGCTTGGTGAGTGTGCTTCTGCAGGTGGAGGGCTGGTCTCAGGACCGGTGTGACTCAGGGCTCTGAAACGCCCTTCTGATAAGAAATGATCTCCATGGCTGGCCTGAAGTTCCCACCGCGACAGCCGCTCCTTCAGATTAAGGCATGACCGTAGCCCTGTTAAGACAGATGCTACCTGTGAAGCGTGACTCTCGACTCTTTAGCACCCACTGACTGAATGTCACCTATCAGAGAGCAGGACCCTGAGAGACGGGACTTGGGGCAGGACAGGCTAGAGCGGGGAGAGAAGGCTTGGAGGTGCCCATGCAGGCAGGGGACGGCTGGGCAGCGGAGCGGGGTCCTTGCCGTGGGAGACTGAGCCTGGGTACCGCCCCACACCACAGGCACCCTAGGCTCTGGGTGTGGGGTTGGCCGAGGGTCTGTGCCTATTACAGCATCCTCGGTATGTACCTAAAATGGAATGCACTGGTCCCTCGTGAAAATAGGACAGCAGATCCCTGTTGAGTCAAAGATGACAGAAGTCCCCAACTGTCTCGTGCAGATTCTTATGACCATAAAGTCAAAATCCGGAAGCTCTGCAGATCCAGGTCTTATGTGCAGACAGGGTGTGCACACATGCACACGCACACTCACACGCACACGTGCACACACTCAGCAGTCAAGGCCTCGCCCATGTGAAGGGCCATGTCTCTTCCCGGCCATCTAGGATTCGGATGCATGGTGGCCACTGCAAGGTGGTTGGGCGAAAGACTGGCTTGGGGTGTCACGACCCTTCCTGGTATCAGTTAGACCCTCTGCCAACTCAGGTGGCTCTGTGGAAATGGCCCGGCTTTGCTTACGGAGACTGGCGTGGGCCTTGCTGTTAGGATTGGGGCTTGGAGACAGGGATGTCAACACTGTGCCCTTTAACCCTTTGGAGTTTGGGAGACTGGGGGAGGTGCAGGAGGAGAGAGCGGCCAGGCAGGGAGAGGCTTTGGCTCCTAGAGAAGCTGAACTCGGGAGCAGGCTCAGGCAGGGCCGCTGCCAGCCTCGGGGCATGACTCTGGCACTGCCCAGCTCTCCAGGCATCTGCTCAGGCCGGCTGGGCTGGTGGGAATGTTCAGTGGGGAGCTAGGCTGGGGGACAGGAGGGGACTCCAGAGGAAGCCGGAAACGGGAGGCAGGGACCTGAGTGGTGGGAGGGGCGAGGGGAGAAGAGCTGGAAGAACTTCTCAGCCCTGTTTTCACAGCGGAATCACCTGGTAAGCGAGGGACACCTGCCCGCCCACCATGTGGGGACAGCCTGCCGCGACTGGTTTGGGTGGAGAGCAGGCATGGATGCATCTGGAGTTAACATGCTACGTCAGAGCAGCGCGAGCACCATGCTCCTGGTGGCCGGGTGGGAGCTGGAAAGCCAGGACCCGCGGAGTCAGGAAGGAGCCGAAGGGGAGGGCAGGTCAGGAAGGCCCTGGGGCTGCTGTCCAGATGGGGAGCCTCTGTGTCGTGGGGTCCGACAGCCTCGCTAGCTGGTGTTTCTGTTGGGAAATCTGGCTGGAGTGGGGGTACGTGGGCAGAGGGAGAGAATGTCTCCTCTTTTCTGTGGCTTCTGAGAGGAATAATTCACTGTCATTTGGGACCTACAAGACAAATTCTGGGGCTGATGCTTCAAAGACAGAAGTGGAGCTTGGGTATCATACATACATATTGCATAAATAAACAGGTCAGCATGTATGCCAATAAATAAACCAATAAATAAAAGCACACACTCTGACGGCGTGGCCTCGGGTGGTTCTTCCTCACCCCACTGACGTGGTGACACCAGGGTACCCGTGGTCACAGAAGGCACCCATCCTGGCCACGGCAAGAGGAATGACTGTTGGCCCTGGCTCTCCAAGAGGTGGTGGATGCTAGCTACCCGCGTGGAGGAGGGAGGAGGAGGGGAGACCAGGTGTGCGGGCGGGAGGCAGGGTGTGGGAGCCAGGGCTGGGCTATGTGAGGTGTTGGGGGTCCGGGCTGACCAGCTCGTGGTCCTCGGGGGGCTTCCCTGTGGTCTGGATGAACCCAGTGTTTCCACACAAAAAGATACAGCAGACGCGGTTCCCGTCTCCAAGTAGCTCCCCACAAGCCCACCAGCAGGCCCGCTGGCCCGTGCTGGGCAGGAGGTACGGTCGCAGGACAGAGGGTGAGGGAGGCAGGCAGGAGGGCGCCATCTGTGGGGTCAGCTGTCCGGGACATGAGCTCCTGGGACATCAGCCATGCTCGTCTCCTCCGCAGCTCTGCCACGCGGCTCTGCTTCTGGGCTTGCCCTGTCCCCCTAGGAGACCTGGATGTGGACACAGAAATGTGAAGGTAGAGTGGGCGTCAGAGACCCAGGACACACCAGGCCCTAAGCAGGTGTTACAATCCGGGCTGCACAAATAGATCAAGGGGTGAGAACTCTGGAACTTCCTGTGAAGTCCGAGTATTTATTTTCACATGCACTTCTCCATAAAGAGAGTCTGCCGTGTTTATCTGGTTCTTTAAAAAAAGATCAAAAACTAAAATGACATTCAAGGATTCCAAGTCACATCTATGTGTAGCTCACTAGCAAGGTGTGTGCAGAAATGGGTAGGATTCCAGGTCCTCCAAGGCGTGGCTCCTGGGTGTCCCAAGGCACAGGAGGTTGGCAGGCGTGTGACCACAGCCAGAGTCTCACGGAGCTCCTGTTGGGGGCTCACCCACCCATGGCGCTCAGACTTGCTTCCTGAGTTCCTCTCAGTACTATTCAGCCTTAGGTTGTCCATCAGTTTCTCTTTAAAAAGAAACCATGCTGTCACTTTTTCTGGGGCTAGCTGGTTGTACACATTGCTTATGTAATAGATGGGGTCCTAAAGAAGTAGGTGAAATGAATTTTTAAAGTTAAAAAAAAAAAAGATGTCTTTGAATGCACAAGAGAGCTGTTCCGGGGGAGCCAAGCCCCCCTCCTCTCCCGGGATCTCTTCCCTCATGGTGTCTTTGAATTCGATGTGCTGGGTTTGCGTGTAAGGACAAACTGCTACCATGCAACAGGTTCTTACAGCTGCACATTAGGTAACGCTGTTGCCTTTCCAGATTGGCTGCATGGGTTCAGTCTTACAAAGAAATACCCCAAAGCCTTACTCAGGAGGTCAAGAACCCTTTTCCAGTTGCCTGAAGTTAGAAGTCAGTCTCATCATACATAAAAGGGGGACAGCCTAGAGGACAATCCAGAGGTGCTCCTCTGCCCCTCGTGCCCAGCGTGGCCGCCATGCTCTTCGGTGTCAATAAATGCCACTTCCCCCTCCTGCAGTATGAGATGGTCAGGGGCACAGGCTGTGTTGGGCTGTGCCAGCCCTTGATCCCTCGCCTGGCACAGTGACAGATGTGGTGAGGTGGGGGGTGGGGTGACTGTGGGTAAAAGGGGCCGAGGCCTTAGCTGGCCTCCGAGTCTGTCTGCAGCTCACAGGCCGTCCTGGGGAGGTGCCCCCAGCAGGTCACATCACCAGGACAGGTGACTGCTATTACATCACTGAGTCCTATTAGTTTGATTCCATGTTCTACAGAGCAGTGATGGCATGGGTCAGCACGATTTTGTACAGAAACCATTCTAACTGCATGCTGAATCCTGTGCATGCACTTCTCCAAGGCAAGGCGCGGTTTCAGTCCTAGAAAGAAATAGGGGCCCAGAGCGGTTCCTGTGTCGTCAGGAGCCTGGAATCTCTGAGGGAGTCAACACGCCTTCTTCCCATTTCACGGTTGGAAAGCAAAGGCCCCAAGGTGACCTATAGGGACCTGCCTGAAGCCAATTCATAGTCAGGCCTCAGAGCCCCAGGGCCCCTGTCAAGAGGCCACCCTGAACCCCACGGTGGCCTCCTTTGGTAAGGAGAGCTGCTTGGAGATGCTGCTTTCCTGGCTGCAGAAGGCTGGGATTCACAGCTCTTACTCCTTCACAACACCCACTATTTCCTGCTCCAGAACGTGCCCCAGGAAGGCGTCTGCCTCTGCTCCATCTCAGGAGCAGGGTCGGCTCTGTTCAGGAAGACCCAGGAGTCCTCAAGGCCAGGCCGAGGCGCGCAGCTCCCTGGTGCGCAGGGCAGGCCCCCGGGCAGGCGGGGGACGGAGTGGGCGGCTCTGGTCCTGTTCATCTGACATGCAGGCGCAGTCTTTCTTCTTTCCTAATTAATTAAAAGTAATAGCTTTCCATAGTTTCTGGTGTGTGAGGGAGTGAAGTGGGAAATAATTTAATTGGCTGTCTTGCTTTCAAAGCCCAGTTTAATGAACTAGTTCTCAGCCTGAAGTGCGTGCATTCTCTCTCCTGTTACTTTTCCAATTAACATTTCACTGGCTCACATCTGTGCAGAAGATTCTAATGGGTTTGAGGGGTGGGGGTGAAGGGACAGGAGCAGATGGAGAGAGAGCAGCAGCCTCTTCCGTCCCTCGTGCAGGGTGCACGCTGACCTGGCTGCAGGGTCCTCAGTCCCTTTCCTTGGAGGAGCTCAAAGCACTAGAGAGAAGCCCTGCCCTGTCACTTGACCCTCACGGGCCAGAAAGGGGCCAGGCCAGGCCCTTCAAAGGTGGACTGGCTGCTGGACGGGACAGAGAGGAGGCTGAGGGGCACTCCCAAGGCTCTGGGCTTCCCTGGAGTGTGTGGCCCCAGCAGGGAGGGGCCCCTCAGCCTCCTGGGAGACACCAGTGTCAAGGCTCCTTGGAGAGCGATGTGCAGAGGCTCCCAGGACGCCCTCCTTGCCCTGCTGGTCCCAGGGTAGGTGGAGCAGGGTGGGGACCAAGGAGCCGAGCCAGGGGCCTGGTGAAGCTGAGGAGGCTTGCCCTCGGTGGGGCACATGAGGCCCGGCTTGGACCTTGTGTCCCAGCAGCCTGACCTGCTCACCTGCCTGGCTCACTTGAGTCCCAGGCCAGGCAGGAAGCTACAGCACCTGTCCTCCTTTCTCTTCTCCCTCCTGGCCAGCTGAGGCCAGCCCACATGGCCTCAGTGTGTCCCTGGTGCTGGGTCATGCCCTGCCCTCTGCCCTTAGCTGTGATTCGGAAGTCCATTCTTCCTTCTCCTGGGAATCTTGGGCCCGGCGCTGGTTGGATAACAGGAGAGATAATACACGCACATCAGCCACGGGCCAGGCTACGGGCAAACACGGGCAGAGACACGGGAGAGGCACTATGTGTGGCCACAGGGCCTGCTGCCCAGGGGCCTGAGAGAAGAGCCTGCTAGATGCTCCTGGGGAACCTGGCACAGTTAGGGATGAGGCACGAGTTGGGGCGCGGGTCAGGGGACCAGTCCAGGAGTCCTGTGTGCTGGAGAGGTAGGGCCGTGACCAGTGTGACCAGTGTGCCTCCTGGGGTGGGACAGCTGGGCGGGTGGGGGGGGCAGAAGCACCTCCTCCTTCTCTGTGAACTCGCAGGTCAAAATCTGCAGTGCCACTTCAAACCATGGGGTCCCAATGCTAAGGGAGAGACGGGCCAGTGCAGACCCACGCCAGAGTTTGAACGCATATATCCCCTCTGGTCTCTGGTCCGTCATCACCACAGGAAATGCGCTGGTGGAGAATCGAGCTGGGATTGCAACCTGCCCAGACCCAATGCTCAGCCCCTTTCCTCTCCAAAAGGCCTCCTGGAGATGGCTTCCTGCAGGTTCAGGCCTCCCGAGTAAGACGGCAGGGGAGAGTGCAGATCCTGAGCCAGGCCTTGATGGGTCCCCTGAGATGCTTTTGGGCTTCCACGTAGGTGGGGCCTGAGTGTCTGCCTCTGCTCCCGACCCCAAGGCTCCCCAAGGCATCTTAAGGTTGGAGATGGGATCTGCCCCAGAGGATGCTCAGCTGACCAGGGCGCAGGGCCTCCCCGCTGACCCAGATGCACTCCCATAAAAGTGCCTGGGAGTGGCCAAGTGACTTTGACTGTCCTCTGGCTGCAGAGATGGCCATTCTCCGGAAGGCTTCCACAGGCAGACGTCCCACCAGGGAGATGGGAACCAGATGTACTCAAGATCTCAAAAGAAATTAATGGCAATGACTGGGGTAAAAATATCTCTGACTGAGCTTGCTCACCCAGCTCCCTTTCTATCCAAGGATCACTTGGGCTTAATTATAGAGTTCAGGCGTTCACTGGGTTTTTGATTAATTTTCTTTTCAGCTTGAAGAGTGTGTGAGTGTGGTGGGTCTTTGTGTGTGTGCGTGTTTACATCTTTCTCTGCAACTCCGCTGGGAGCCGACTCTGGCGATGCTAATTGTGCCCTCAGTTATAACTCCGACATTCAGCCAAGGGGGCGGCAGGCCATTGTTCATGGCCTCCTCCCCTGGGCTGCGCCTGCCGAGCCGCGGGGTGGCTGGTGGTGGGGCCTCACTGCGGGACGCACGATTTCCTCCAAGTCTTTGCACTTGTGTTTAAGGGACTCTAGGACCAGGGGAACAGATTTCCTACCCTGCTAATTACGAGTCCTGTGCTGAGAGCTGCCAGCGACGGCAGCCCTCCCACACCCAGCCCCTGGCAGGCATTTCCTGGGCCAGCCTCCCCGGGAGAAGAAGGTTCTCTGCATGAGAGAACGGGGTTGGCTCTCCTGTTGTGCACAAGGGCCGGGCAAAGAGGTTAGGGCTACATGGTGCTCCTTTCTTCTCTCTGTGGGATTTGGAGCTCAGAGGCCTAGTGTGGACCCTGGCCCTGACCTTTTCTGCTTATGTGTCTAGGGTCTGCCAATTAACCTCTCTGGCCTCAGTTGCTCTCTGTAACAAGGTCACAGTGATGATGACATGGCGTCACACATCCTGTGAGCCTGCCTGGGAAGGGGACCTGCCTGTGGCGGCCTGTGCACAAGAGTCTGTAAGTCGTGGTCTTGACAGGATTGCTGCTTAGAGCCTGCCTGTGACCTCGAGCGTCTCTCCTGGCACCAGGAGACAGGGAGTCTGGAAAGGCCCACAGAATGGCTGCCAACCTTCCCAGGTGCCATGGGTACCGCAGTGACCTGGGGGCGTGAATGCAGGCTGCAAAGGGCCCGGCTCAGGGCCCCCCTCATAATGGCCGCCACGGGAACTTCTCTTTTCCGACTCCACAGTCACGAGTGTTCACTGCTGTTCTTTAAAGGCTGGGTCCAGGGGTCTGGAGTTCCAGCCTGTGGGTAGAGAGTCCTGGGACGGTGACAAGGCTTCTCATGGAGCCAGGGAGAGCTGTGAGCCGACTAAGGCGACTGCTGTGTGACCAGGCTGCTCCTGGCCTCAGACCGATGTGGGATGTGACCTTAATAGATGGCACTGCACAGAGACTCAAAGAGATCCTTCAAGGTCACAGTCTCAGAGGTCTCCAAGGTGACCTCCTCTAAGAACCTAGGGTCTGACGACCTCTTCTCTCACACACAGGAACTCAAAACTCGTGCCTCCAAGACACCACGCAGTGCACGTAGAATCCAGACCCCCTGAGACCACCACCTGACCCTGAGGCCACCGAATGGCCCTGGTAGCCGATGGCACCTGGCGCAGACCCAGGTACTCTGGCCCGTGGGAGGGAGGGCGACCCCACAGCGGTTTCCAGGCTGATTCTCGCTCGTGAGAGTCTTTCATCGGGTAATACCCTGACATCCACAGATCCTCATAAAATAAAGATGACTTCCAAATAATTGGCTCCAGGGCGACCGAGTGTGCTGCCAGGCTGACCCCAGAGACTCAACTAGAGTCCGGGAGGTGTCACCGAGAGTGACCACGATGCATATCTGCAGAACGCCTTAAACTGTGATAAGCTCTTCCCCATATATTTTTCTTGTTTATTTTTCTATTACATAATTTCCCAGAAACTGCTGGGAGACTCCGAAAAGTGATTTTATTTTTTTTTAAATGAAGGCACTGTCTATGCTGCCCTGGCTGTATAAATACACACATGCCTTTGGAAAAACCACATTATGTGTAACTCTAATTGCATAAGTCATATCTTACTTTAATGGGCTGGGGAAATTTGAAAACTGAAACCTTGCAGAGGATTTTGCAATTAACCTGTGGCCACACTGATGGATTTTTAAATATCAGGTTTTTTAAAGTGGGGAGGTTCTGGTTGGACTATAGGATCAGAATCCGCTCCCCAGAATCCCACCAAGGTGGCATCTAATTCAGTCCAAGAGAGCGGTTGCTGTTTCTGACACTGTGTGCAAACAAACAGCTTTATCTCAAGCATGGGAAGGGACAGAGGAATCCCAGGGTGATGACTGAACCACTTCTACACGAGTGTCTCCAGGTCTCTGTGAGTCACCCCTGTGTGTTACCGTGCTGTATAGAAACCTGCCATCAATAGCTGATCTGCAAAAGAGTAGTAAAGATCAGGGTGTGAGGTTAATGCTCCATAGTGTGGAGGGGGCCTGTCAACACTCTCAAGTGTCCAAGAACTGTATCCTGTGACTCAGACCTGAACGAATTAGGCTAAATTGCATTTTTAATAAATCTAATAAACACGTGCTCCTGTCACCCTGTGTCCCCACGCTCTGCCGCTCTGGTAGAAGGCAGACCTTTGGCAGCAGCTGTGGGACTGTGACTGCTCTGGACTTGAGAGCGCTCACCTCTGGAATCAGGCTTGCCGCGCCACCCACTAAACACACAGTGACCCTGTGGCATTTTATCACCAGTTTGCGTGGGAGTTTGAAACAGTCCCCTCCCACAACCACAGTTTCCATTATTGAGAATAAAGGCAGAAGCTCTTTTGGTGGGGGGGTGGCTGAGGTTGGAAGAGCTAGAAACATTCTCATGTAAAGTGTGGACACTGTTTAAAAAGTCTCAGAGGGCCCCGATGGAAGGACACCGGGAAGCACTTTTCCACAAACGCTCCAAGTGGGCCGCCTCTGTGAAGCTGAACTCAGTGAATGTTTGTGGAAAACAGTGTTGTCACTGTGTGTGCGGGAGGGGGGGGTGTCACGGTGCACGGAAGCAGGCGCTTCCGGCAAAGCGGTCACATGCTGTACCCACGGCTGTGCATGTGCGTGTGTGTGCTGACGAGTGTGCATTCATGTGTGCATTGTATGTCTTCAAATCATTCAGAGGCTAAAGAAAACCACACACCTGAAAACACCGTTCTTGCCTGTTGAAATGTTGAAACCCTCCATGGCTTCATGGCTTATCAATCTGTTTTGTAAAGTTAGGGCTGGTGATGGGAGAAGAATAAGCAGCTGTAAACAAAATCAGTTTGGGCTCCACCGAAAACACGCAGGGCCCAAACACAGGGCTGCGGCAGGCGGGACAGCACGTCCATTCTGCGGGGAGGAGGCCGGGCTCCGCCGCCTTGGAGAGGGGAAGCGGCATCTCCACGGCTTAGTGGGCCAGCACCCTGGACAGTTCCCGGGAGCTCCCCCTTCTGGTGCGGAGCGCCTGGATTCCTGGCTGGCCAGCGTCCCCTTCATTCCAGTGCCTGTCCCAAGCCGAGGTCAATGGACAAAGCACATCCTCTCCCCCACCCGCTCCTCTGCCACCTCTCACACCTGCTTCCCCAGCCCCTCCATCGACACGGGGCCGTGCCTCACCACACTGGTGCGGCTGTTTGCACTCCATTCAGCTGGTGGGGAAGCAGCCCTGGCCACCACAGGCACTGCTTAGTTCCACTGCCGTCCCCTGCGTCTCGCAGGGCAGAAATGGGCAACAGTCAAACGGAGAACCCTCCTGGTCCGCGCCGAACCATGGCTGCGTGGAGACAGTCACGGCAAGTCTGTCAACCAGCGACTTACTCCTAAGAGGAAGGGCGTTTCCTAGGGACCCTGCCGCCGAGGGGCGCGGGCTCTGCGCGACGGCTGCGGGGGCTGGCCGGCCGGCTGAGAGGTCTGCTTTGGCTCAGAGACCAGTGTGGCTCCTGCCACCCTGGTAACCTCGCAGAGTGCCTCGCGGTGTGTGCTCCACAGTCAGGCCGTCTGCTCTACTTGGGAGGGATCACGACCAGGGGTGGGCCCCGCTTGGGCCTCCACATGAGGACCTGGGCGTCGTTGGCGTTGGGCTTCACTAGTGCGTTGGGGGGGATGGGCTCCATCCGGCTCAGGATCCGGGGCTGCTCCTGCTGAGTCCTGCCCACCAGCCGCGCCCGCTGCCCCAAGAGCTGAAGAGGGTCCACCTCAATGTCCACCCGCATCCTCCACTTGATGGTCTGCAGAATGATCTTCTCCTTGGTGGTGGCGTTCATGGCCACCAGCCAGGTGGTGAAGCTTTGGTCCCTCTTGATTCTCGTGAGCAGGGGCACATTGCTGTCACTCACTGGCACTGCCCACGTCACACTGGGGTAGAAGTTGTCATTCATGCTGACGGAGAACCTGGAGATCTTGTTGGTGGGGCCGACCAGGGTCACGGTTTCCGTGGTGTTCCCATACCAGGGGTAGCTCACCCCATCTGAGTCGCTGATGGCCTTGACTCTCCCTTCCCTCAGGTCGGGCAGCTCCCAGCTGGACCTGGCAAGGCAGAAGAGGTGCACAAGAGAGAGGCCGTGTGAGTCTTTCAGCTGCTGAGAGGCGCCCACCACTTACAGACCCAGACAGCTCGGCATGGTGGCCGCCCAGAGGGGGATCGGGCCAGGAAGTTCTGCACTGTTTCAGGATCAAGTGGGAACGCAACAAAACAGAGATAAAAAGCAATGCCCACACAAGTTAAATGAGAGCACAGATGACCAACGGAAAGCTCAGAGCTCAAGAGACAGGCGTCCGCCACCAGGAGGCACCAGGCAGTGGGGATGATGGCGGTCAGCGGCTCCGGGGATCCCCTGCAGGACAGGTTTCCCAGGGTCTGAGGGTGGGGAGAGCTGTTTGGTGGACGAGGTGGAGGCTGAATTTGATGCACTTGGAGGAAGGCTCGGGGAAGGAGGGCAAGGAGCCAAAGTTTAATGTCACAGCTGTTAGGGGGTCACACTAGGGGGCCTCTCTTCAACCCAGAGGGTGGTTCACACTATTGCCACCTGCAATCCAGCACTTGGCAAATGCAGCCCTGGGAAAGGACAACTCAAGGAGACAGCAGTACCTGGAGGCCACCTGGCCTGTGAAGCCGCACAGCTGCTGGCGCCCAGTCTGACGCCCTGCTCTCCCGGGCTTTGAGTTCAGCCTGGCGGGCTTGCTGTACAGGCTCACAGCCCACCATTCTAGACACCCCCCGACCTGGTACAGAAGGACGGCAAGGACCACGTTTCCCCCACCATGGGCTGCTGCTCGTAATCGAGATGAGAATGATAAACAGCCATGACTGGCACCTGTGCGGCACCTGCTCTATCCCAACCACCCTGCTAGGTCCTTTGGCTCAGTTAATGTTCAAAATGTTCCAGGGCACACACGACGCTCCTCTCCACTTTCCCAGGGAGAGCTGACGGCTGGATGTCACGGTGTGTACCCAGGGTAGAGGTGGAGCTGGGCACCGTGGGGCCCCGAGCTCCGCACCACCCCATGATGCTGGCCCCACTGCCCTACAGGGCGGTGGCGGAAGGCCAGGTGGAGGGGCTCGGGACGTCCTGTGAGCGAGTGGCCCCAGCTTTGAGGAGTGCACTGGACCTGAGGGGGCACTCTTTGATCTCTATCCCCAGATCCTGGGACGACACTGGGTCGTGACCTGGTAACTGCCAAGGACTTCATCATTACAGAGGACACCAGACTGTCCCACCCCTCAACTGGGGACGGGCTCGTTTGACACAAATTCCTCCTCCCTGGGACGTGACAGAGGATCCTGCAGGGCCTTCTCCAAATGGTCTGGAGTGGCCGTCAAGGGGACACCGACAGGCCAGCAGCCCTGGCCCTCGCGCTCTGGCTCCCGCAGCAGAGCCACCTGAGGCGGGCAGGCCTGCACCTGGGAGGTGGCGAGCCCCAGGGCACAGGCCTTCCCCTGGTCTTCATGCCCTCGTGGTCAGCAGGAACTACCACAGGACCTGAAGCAGAACCAGCGCAAGCTCAGGTGTGGCCATGCCAGGGCACCTTCCAGAGAATTCCAAAGCCATTTCCTGCGGCACAGAGGGAGAACCATGGAGTGACGGTGATGCGGTCACACAGGTCAGAGGCTGGCTTTGATAATGGTTTTCAGAGAAGTCCCTGAAATGTCCCCAGGATGGTAGCATATTGGAGTCACTTGACCAAGTGACGGGCCAGCCGTGCGCGAGGCACCTGAGACGGCCTGTGGCCCACAGTGAGCTCGTCTCTCCTGCCCTGAACCACGGGCGCTTCCTGGTCTCTGCTGCACCATCTTCCCGGCCAGAAGAGTGGGGTCACCCTGGGCTCTTCCCCTCCCTCTGCTGGACAGCCATGGCCACCGAATCACTGCATCCCGGGAACCGTACCCATAAACAACGCCTGGATTTCTCTCCTCCTCTCCATCCAACTGGGCTGCTTGTGTTCCATCCACGCCCTCAGCTCCGCTTACCTGCGCCGCTGTGCTGTCCACAGCCCGTCTCCACATGGATCCCCGTCCTCTAGACTCACCTCTTCGGCTACACAGGTGTTCCCCCTAGGAATCCGGTCAGGCCTTTTCTCCAGTAAAACCCCTGCAAGATCCCCTGCCTGGCCAGCCCTGGTGTCACCGAGCAGGACAGCTGAGGTCCTCCCATCTGGCCTCCCTGCCATTTCCCACCCTGCCCTGGCTCATGCCACGTCTTCTGCCTGCCCCCACGTTCTCCTGCTCCAGTGTCCCTGTGGCTAAATATGTGTCCGTGGAGGGTCGCCACGGGGCTCTACCCCTCCAGAAAGCCTTCTTCTGCCTGTGCCCATGAGTAAGTCCACACCTACAGGTGACAGCTTTTAACGACTGGTTCATGTGTCTGTCCTGCCACTGGATCATGGTCTCCTTGAGACCGTGGTGTCTAGCACGTTGCTGGGACATAGTAAAGCCTAGTGGACCTTTACTGAAGGGACATCTTATGTGAACCAGCTTGGCACCCAGAGCTTCGTCACCTGTACCTGACGCGGTGTTCATCCTAGTTCTGGGCTCTTCCTGGAGTGTGTGTTTACAAGGCTGCTCCCGATGGAACAAGGGTGCGGTCTCCCTGTCCCTGAATTCCACACCCCGCCCCGGGTCTACCCCCCACGGCACTCAGGGCGCCAGGTCCTGCCCCTGTGGGAGGGGAGGACGGTGGTGTGGTCTCCTGGGACCAGGACACGGACCAGGCTCACGGTGCCTGCAACCACTTGCTCCTCTCTCTCTCTCTCTCTCTCTCTCTCTCTCTCTCTCTCTCTCTCTCTCGGTGTCCTCTGCCCCGCTGCTGTCTCAGGGCTGTCTTTGCTCCTCTCCTCCTGTGGCCTCACACTTCCGGGGTGACCTCCTCTGGACTGGTGGTCTCCTACACTGGGACAAATGTCCGACTTTGGCCGGGATTGCTCCCTTGGCCTCCAGACCCCCATTCCCAACTGCCTGCTGACGAAAACCCTGGAGTCCCTCCCGGCCACTCTCGTGTCCCTCACACCACCCGCCGGCAAGCCCTCTGGACTTGAGCACCTCCATCACCACTGCCCGGGCCCAGCAAGGCCGCCTGCGGGATGGTGGCCATGGCCTCCTCAGGATCGCTTTGCCAGTCTCCAGCTCTGCTGCCCAGTATTTCCACATGGCGGCCACGTGGTCTTCACGTCTTTAAAACCAGGTCACTCCCCTGCTTAGAAAGTCACTACTCCACGTAAACCACTTAGGAAAAGTCCCAGTCCTGGAGATGGCCGTGTGACACACACACTCTGTTTCCCGTCCCCCCCCGGACCCCATCTCCTCTCTGGCCCACCCTGGCCTCTGTGCTGTTCACTGGACACGCCAACTCCCCCCTCAGGGCCCCTGCACTGACACATCCTTCCCTCAGGTCCCTGAAAGTCCTGCCGCTTGGCCTCCTCAGTGCTGACGAGTCCCACGTTCCCAGGGCCGCCTTCCCAGGCCCACCCCACGAGACACGGGAAGTTCCTGACTTGCCAGTGTCCGTCTCTCCCCACCCGCTGCCCAGACGCAGTCCCTCTGCAGCAGGGACGTCATAGGTCTCCAGGGCCACTGCAGCGGCCAGCAGGAGGGGCCGACACCTGCTAAGTCACACTGACTGAAGCCGGAGACTGGAGGAAGCTGCGGTTCCTGGGCAGACAGGACCGCTCTGTGCAGGGGAGCAGCCAGACGGTGCTGGCCAGGAGGTCCTGCAGACTTGGGTCTAGAGCTCAGGAAGGAGTTGGGGCTAGACAGGGACACTGGCCAGCCACCGGCTGCAGAGTGGTGGGCACCGGCTGGATGCCTGGGGGCAAAGGAGCCCCAGGAGGCTTGTTGGACGGCCAGAGACGCAGAGGAGCCTGAGAAGCAGTGAAGCGGGTGGACTGGTTTCCAGGTGAAGGGATTTCACGGAGTCGCCTCAAGGAACCAGGTGGGGTCTGTTGACCATGGACACAGCAAACAGGAGCTGGAAGGCCGTTCTGTGAGGAGCCACGAGGGAAGAGACCCTCCCGGAGGCAGTAGGGAGTAGGGCAGGAGGGGAGAGCGAGGAGGCTCAGGGCTGGTTGCGAACGCGGGAAGTGGGCTTGGGAACCTGGTGCTGCCCCTTGCTAGTATGACTCAGACACGCCACCTGCCCCTTGGCACCACGTTCCCTACCCATAAAACAGCATGCTAGCTGGGCGCCGTGGTGCCTGCCGTCATCCCAGCAACTCCACGGCCGAGGCAGGAGGGTCTCGAGTTCAAGGCCGGCCTCTGCAACTTAGGAGACCCCACCTCAAAATAAAAAATAAGAAGGGCTGGGGGTGGCTCAGGGGTGAAGCACTTGCGTGGCATTTGGAGCCCCTGGGTTCTGTGCCCAGCACCAGAAACAAAACCAGACAGAGCTGCTGACCCCAGGCAAGCCCCTCCCCAGCCTCAGGTTCCTTACGTCAAAACCAGACGAGAGCCAACCCCAGGCCAACACCTCAGAGCTATGGGCAGGCCATGAGGCCTAAGACAGACGCCCTGGAGCCACCCAGAGGGCTGCTGTCAGGTGGCCTCACTGCACCCCCGGCCCCACCCCTTCTCCACACTGAGCTAAATGGCGCTTTTGTTTTAGACAACTGCCCACTGACCGGAAGCTCACAGATAAGGGACTTGCCAGGGCCTAGGGATGGGCCATTCATTACTGCGTCCCCCAGGCCTTCCCCGCCCCGCGTTTGGGAGAAAGAAGCAAACCTCAGTCTCACAGCTGGCGTGAAGCATTTTCACCCAATGGCGCCCCTGGCTGAAGGCCCGAGCTCCCCCAGACCCAGCCTGTTCCAGCGCCCCCGAGGGGCAGGGCCACCTCTCCAGAGGAACCCGCTTTGCTCCTCAGGGATCCTGCAGTCACAGGGACCTGGGGCAGGGACAGGACGCGGGGAGGCGGCTTGGCAGGTGGGAAGGAGGGCGGGACGAGAGGGGGCAGCTGGCCTCGGGCCTGCAGAGCGTCCAGGGCAGGTTGAGACCTGGGGGGTCCAGCTTTCAGCCCCACGTGAGAGGGGCCCGGCTG